GGGAAAGAGACAGTGAGTGAAGAGAGCAATCGTGGCTGTGCTCTATAGTTTAAAGCCTTGCAGATACGCTAAAAGAGATTGCACACAACTGTGACTGTGAGGTTGGCAGACCTTGTTTAATTCAGCATGAGAATATGGCAATCAGATGACGGGTTTTCCTGCCTTGAACATGATCGAAGTCTTTCTTCTGCTGTTCATTACGTGGAGCACTGAAATTTTATGTTTTTGAGCTCCCAGATGAGAGAAGCTGCAGTTAAGCTGGATTTTAATGTAATCTGGAAAGCATTGCCTTAGATCCTTGTAACTACAGCAACCTTGTTTTGCAAGGATTTTTCCTTTAGATGAGCAGTGTTGTATATAGTAAGCTGAAGTTCTTTCAATTTCTACCTTTGATTAGGGAAAACAAGAAGTCCTTCAGAACAGGATCTGGGATCACTATTGATCATCCAAACTGCCATTCCACAATGAAATGGTAAAATATCACTGGTTCATTTTGAGTGGCTGTGGAAGAAAGTCTCCAGGAATCCTGTGGGCCTGTAGAGTAAATGGCAACAGAGATGGGTTAATACTGGATAAAGATCTGACATCCAAGTGGAGGCTTGCTGGTTAAAGGAGAGTTACTGTCAGCCAGAGAGCCATTGCTAAGTAATATCTGTGTGAAAATCAGCAAAGTACAGAGAAACAGAGAGGGATGTGGATGGTTTTTGGCTTTTTATCTTACAGATTTCTCTGCAATGTTAGAAAGAGTCACTAGTGCCCTCTCCTAATGTGTGAAGTGATTAGGAGAGGGCATAGCTACAAGCGAGAGAGATAAAAGGACAAAACACATGAAAGCAGTTTTGAGATTACTCTTCTGTTGTGTTGTAATGATTTAAATGTCTGTAATATGCCCCATCCTGTGAGGAAAACAGCTAACAAGAAAGAGTCTTGACTATAAGCTGGAAAAGTAAAAGCTGGGCACAGATATAACTGGTGATGAAGAACTAGTATCATTTGAATAATTTAAAAATAATTTCTTATGGTTTTCAGATTTGCAGTAAATTCAGGTCTGTTCTTTTAATGCAAGTGACTGATGTCAGTATTGCCTGTAGTGCTGAGACCAGTGAGCTCAGAAAATTAGCAATCATTTATTTTACTGCATGGTTCACTCAACCCTTCTGTCTTACCAGCCCACTAACTTTTGCCATTCTTACGTGACAGGAACACAGTAGGAAACTAATAATTTTTCAAGCCTCTGTCTCCTTAGACTTTCCTAGTTTGTTCTCTCTTTGCAAGGCACAAACTGTTAAGCTGATGTCATCTGAAGGACAACAAATAAATTTTTCACAAAACATATTTGCATTTATGATCATCCTTTAGCTCATTGTTCCTGTTTGATTTTAAAATTAGGCAGGAAGACCTATTTTTTGTACACAGTTTTGTTTGTTTTTTTTCTAACCCTCCTATCCTTAGACACTGACCCTGAGGAACTGAACTACCTTGCCATCAGGTGGTTTTCTGAAGGAAATATGATGATTCAAAGCAGCACATCTTTTTGTTTAGCCATCTGCCATGGTTTGATTGTTCTGCCCCATTTCTGTCACCTCAAAGTGGTGGAACAGAAACTTTGACAGTGAGGGGCACTAAGTGCCAGGATTACCTTGTGAAAATCTATCACGGTATCTGAAAAATAGCTGAAAGCCATACAAGTCATAGTAACCATGTGTTGGCATGAGCTGCTGAGGACAGTAAGTGCAGGTGACGATGGCAAGGGACAGATGGACTTACGAGGTGTCACTAAAGTCCAGAGTCACTGAAGACTGTTTCTCCGTGGACTAATGAGTTGTCTCCACAAGTTCTGTGTGTTGAAGTATGGGGACAGTAAAACAGAAGAAAGTTCTACCTCTGAGCTTCACAGCTGTGAGAGCAAGTACATGCATATGTGTAGAGGGACATCAGCAAAAAGGCTTCTTTCCTACCTCCCTTCCTCCTAGAGAAAGTCTGCCTTAGACAGTGAAGTACCTCAGAGAGGATTACCTGTTTGGTTTTGGATTGGTTAAAAATTCTTCTCTTCCTCTGGTTTCTAAAGGGCAGATGGGGCTTTAGAGGACAGAAGAGAGCAAATGAACAAATAGTCAGATGTTGATGTGGTGGCTGACCCATTGATTTTTGGTTTTTTCTGTAGTGTTTTACAACTATGATGTTATGATACCTTTAACACCTATTTAATGATAACCATCCAATTTCTAAATTAAACTACCTAAATATCAAACTGACATTTATGCCAGTCTTGAATGTTTGAAAGCAGCCCAGCTGGAGATTTGGTCTGCAGCCTGGACTGCTGAGTAATCCACACTGTGTTGTAACACTGTTCTCCTCAGCCCCTGCTCCCAACTCTTACCTGAGGAATGTGGAAGCTCAGTAAAGGCAAGACATTTGCTCAAGCACAAAATTCTTTTAATCACAGTATTTAACCATTCAGCATATTCATATCTTAGTTGCCAATGAGAAAAGAACAGTGCTTGAAAATTATCCTAAAGGACTAAGAATACATTTCCAAAAGGTGGCCTGTTTCTATAGTTACAATGCTTCCTCGATTTTTTGACCAGCTAGATTTTTGCAGCTTGTAAATATGCAGTGGGTTATGTATCAAGAACTCCAACCATTTTGTTAATACGTGGGGGAAAGATGACATTTGTGTTTAAAGGCCTGATCTTTCTAGGAGAGGACTTTCAATGGGGATCTGGCAGATCAAAGGTATAGGATCCAAATGAACGTGGATATCAGCAGAGATTGGGCTCTCCAAGTTTTCAAGAAGAGAAAAATTGTGGTTGCCACTGTGGGATACTACAGCTTTGCTTCCTTTTGATGATGATTGCTGGAACATACTGCCAGACAGAATTATTTTTGGTATTACCTAATTTGCAGAGCAATGCAAAATTATGGTTCTGACATACTTCATATTTTATAAATCCTCTACACATTCAGTTACTTTTTAATCTTACAAGGCTTGCTGTCAAGTTGATGCTTAAACCTGTCTTTTATGTATTCGTAATGAATCTAAGTGAGGATATAACTGATGAATTCAGACATCTGTGAATCCATGTGATGGTGGATGAAATAAAACTTTAAATAATAAGTGCATGCGTTTTCTCCCTAGTTCTTGACATGTTGAACTCTCATCAAAGTAGGTTATAGAAAATAGATTTTCTGAAGGATATATAATATTATTCCTAAATGCACTGTGGGTTTCTGCACTTCTGGGCAAGGGTAATGTTTGATCCTTGAGCAGTCCCTAGTGATGGGTTAATCTTCCACAAAATTCTGATCATAATGAATTCATTGAACGACATGGAATTAAGAACAAGCATATAGCGCTGGTCATTATTTTAGCTTATTTGTATTTTTATATTGCTTGCTGGTTTTTATTGTTTCAAAATGTGTTTTAACCTTCTTGTATTGTCCTAAGTAATAGTGCTAGTAAAGTATACCAAAGTGGATCATGCAAAAGAAGGTCACAAATGCTCCTATGATGAAAGAGCATTATTTGCTGCAGAAAAAACCTTGTTGATGCATTATAGTAAGTGATGTTTCTGGATGAATAAAGTAATAAACAAATAAGTTACTTGCCTGAGTCATGGACTGACACCGTAGCAGGGAGATACCTACAACAGAGATATCCTGACTTCTATTCTTTGTTACAAGAATTTTTTTTATTTTCTGTAGCAGACTAGATTCTGACCTGGGCCTGCCTGTGACTGCTGTCCCCTTCAGACTCCTTTCAGAAACATCTTGTGAGACTCTGTCTCAGAGGAAGGAGGATGGTCTTTGATTGAATTTGACAAGTGCCTACTTTCTCTCTTCCCAAGGGAACTAAAAGAGAAGATCCAGCCTGAGATCTTAGAACTGATCAAGCAGCAACGTCTCAATCGACTTGTGGAGGGTACTTGCTTTAGGAAACTCAACAGTCGGCGTCGACAAGGTACAGCTCAGACTGCTTAGTCTGGCTTTTTATTGTCACTTTTGTCTAAAAGCTGAGATGAGGAATACTATTTTTACTGGCAAGATCCTTGATTGTGGTGCTGTCCTGACTATTACTGGGGGGCATCTGAAAGCATTTCCTAGTTACAGTTGTTGTAGAGTTTCCCTAGAACTGGTTTTGGCTTCATCACACAGATCATCTGGAACAAGTCCAGTGTTTGACAAAAATCTCAAGCAGCAGTCTTGCATTGTGAACTGTGTATTTTGGTTTCTGCCTGGATGTCAAGGCGTCTTGTTCATTTAAAAACGAAATCTCTGCCTCTGCAGGAATAGTGTATGAAACTTGGTGTAGCCAGAATTTGAATCTCTCAGACTCAAATCACCCCTATAAATGCATTAAGCTCATTCTGCACCCTCCCTCTAGTACTGCCTGTCCTTGGTTTTTGTCTTACATTACCATATATATTAAATATATTAGGGTGTTTAAATATACTTTTAAAAAGCACTTAGATCAGTAATTTGTGTACTTTCAGATGAATACTTGATTGACGTGAGAAGATTATTTTCCCAATCCTATGAGTCATTACTCAGTGCTAGATTTACAGCTCATTTTATACAGTCAAACTCTCTGTGGTTCTTCTTCCCTCAGAGAGGCATGCTTCTTTCTCTGCACAGAATAATGGGGGCGCAGTGTGAATTCAGCAGATTAATTAAAAGTTGTATCCAAAAAATTCCCTTTAAAACCCTCATTTTGTGAGGATTCAGATTACCATTTGTTTTCTACTGTAAATACAACACAAATTAGAAAGTTACAAATTCTAAGAGTAAGAACTGACAAAGATCAGTATTTGAGACCTTCAGATCAATGAGGGGAAGCCACTTCCATCACAGAGAGAAATATCCCCGTAATGCCTCCTTCCTTAGAAGCAAGGAAGCAATTTTCCTTTGGAAAATTTCTAAGCCTTTATGAAAGGATTGAGTTACAGAAAAATGTGATCGAGCTTTATATCCTCTCTGTCAAGCCTGCAAGCACCTATGAACCCCACTGCACAGAGTTTAGGAAAAGACCATTGATATTCCACTGTGTCTTTCTATACAGATTTCATAGGGAGACATGATATGTGTTTCCCCTTCAGCAACATATTCATGGAGTGACAGTAGCTGAAGTAATGCGTAGTTTGTTTTGGCTATCAATAGTGAGGCTTGTTTATTTTATGCCTCTCAGAGCCATAATCCGAATGACTGAAATTCTAGGGAAGGAGCAGGGTTTGTGGCAAACGTCGTTCTTTTGGCAGATCTCCAAGAGGAAGATAGGCTGTTTATTTTATCTTAAATTGTTGTTAGTTCATGATTTATAGGATCAAAAGCCTTAGGGAGTATAAATTGGTTCAACTTACATGAGAGGAGTTGAAGTTAAGAAAACATATTTTAAAAAAGGAACAAACAACAATGTAACCTTGTGGTCCACAGTTGAGAATCTTGCTCTGTGTCATACCTTGGAGTGGATTGTATGGGACACTGGATTAATTGCTTTGATGACATACAGTGCCAAAAAAGTTCCCAATTTTTTGGAAACAAATAAAACACACAACCATGCCTCAAAGAACTTGATCTTTTCTGAAAGGTATTGGTTTTTGTCAAATACAGTCCCATTTAGAAGGACATGTTTCCACATGCCCCTAAGAGTTGTGTGTGCTTTATGTTAGATTCCCTGTATTCCCTGAAACAGAAGAGTAAATTATCCCCTTGGGAGGGAGAAGACACAATCATTACAGAAGATGATTATGCATGAGACCACCAGGACTAATCACCATAATATCTAACACTGTGCTATCTAATGAAGAATCACAGAGTATTAGGAGTTGGAGGAGATCTGGAAAGATCATCCAGTCCAACCCCCCTGCCAGAGCAGGATCACCTAGACTAGGTCACGCAGGAAAGCATGGTTTGTAAATACAACCATGTTTGGCATATAAGCCATTCAATTAGGATCCTTTTTTAGGTATGTAGCTTAGCACACTCCAAATAGCAAATAGTGGCAGCTGGCACAAAGCAGGAGAAGCTCTCTTGAAATCAGTCTTTATCCTTCAGGGTCTCCTGTACCCCAGGCAGAGCAAGCTGTAAGACCAGGTCTGTCATGATGTCAGGAGCAAGAGATGAAGTAAAGTGTATGGGGGACCAGAGGTTTAGCTTTCCTTGGAGCATGACCAGGGCCCTCAAAAAGTCATGGACCATCCAAGGTGATATGGAGCTGAAACAGAAATAGGGAGTGCTGTGAGGCATCACGATTTGCCTGTTATGCAGCAACATACCTGTAAGAGTAGTAAGATCAGGTAGGTGTTTCAGTTTAGTGTCTATACTGCTTCTTTCACCTTTCCTATGATCCTTGTTTTACCCTTGAGACAATCCTGGAACAAATGTCACAAATCTGCAGGTTGTACAAGAAGAACCTGAACATGCCTTACACAGGAGAAGCTGAAAGCATTAAATTGCCCATTTAAAATAATTAACAGTCATTAGATATGATAAAGACTCCAGAGCAAACTTCTGTTAAGACTGGTGTTTGAACATGTGGTAGGACACACATGGTTAGTCACAGTAAGTTGGAAAAATTGACTTACAGAAAAATAAGCAGGGAGTTTACAGCCTCTTACAGCTTTTTGAGAAGAGGTAAAACACTTTCATATATGCCTGACATTGGAAAGCCTCTAATCCAACAGGTGGTTCATTGGGGGATGCTGAAGATTAAGCTGTGAGGTATCTGTGGTCAGATCTGTGCCTTTTGTGTTTCAGCACAGGATTATCATATCAGCAGGATCTCTCTGTAGTTGAAACTCAGAAATACCATTGTTGTCCCAGCAGGATCCTTAGCGCTTTCAAAGAATATGTGGCCTTTCCCTTGCAAGGTTTCACAGGAGAACTGTAGCATTACCTCCTGTTTGTATTAAGCATTCTTAATCAGTTGAAAATGAAACAGCAAAATGTGGGCTGCCCTTATGGTCATTGTTTAACAGCAGATTATGAAGCTCTGCAAATCCTCACTTTGTTCCTTGACTGTGGACATCAGCTAGCAGATAGACCTCTTCAGCTTCCTCCTTCCTGAGTTAATTCCTAAAAGAAAGGGGAGAAGACAAAAGCAAAAGCCTGCAAGGCACTTTACAACCCCGAAAGTTGTTATTTCCAATAGAACTAAGTAGCAGATAAAGGCATTTTATTGAGGATAATAGATACTTCTGATGCTGTCATCCAGTACATTTGTCGTTTATGTTGCTGGGTGCACTCTTGGAAATAAATTCCCCTTTTAGCTTTATAAAGATCATAGCGAAATTGCATGTTATTGAGGTGGTTTTGCAGCCAAAGATGAGGTTTCTTGAACAGTAATTTTTGGAAGGGAATGAAAGCATGGTGTTACACAGTATTAAAAACACAAGGCACCGTGGAAGTAACGTGGAAAGAGAAAGCTTAAATTAAAACAAGTCAAGTGAAACAGGTTTTCCATCTCTTGCTAGGATAAGTAACACTTCTGAACAAGAACACACACTTCGTCTTTTTTCTGCCAAGCCTCTTTGCTACTCCTACTCCATTCCCCCTCCATAGCCCCATCAAAAATAAATTCTGTGAGTGCATGACTTGCTGAGAGGAACTGGGTAACCAAATCTGCCTCCAGCATTGCCACAGGTCACTTATTCGCCAGTCATTTGCAGGGCTTGCTGGCTTTCATGTAAGCAGCTAAGACCAGTTAGAGTGACAACATGTCACTACAGTTGTATTAGAGAAAGACACCACAATGAAAGAAAAAGGGTGAGTCCAGGTACTTATATCTAAAAATCTATGCAAAATATGCATGTTTTCACTGATATGTTTAAAAGTGTATCCCTGTTGCTAAATCCATGAGAGAGATTTTCTTTGAACAAAGCACTTCTTTAGTAATCTGGAACATAGCATAGAATAAAATACATACTCTCAGACTTTTGTCCTTGCATATCAGAGCTATTTTCTCCCCAGATTCTAACTATAGAGCACTTTCTGTAGTAACCACAGCACTTCTTTACCTGGGATGTCATTGTTAAGGGCAGATGAGTCATTGGCCATTAATGCACTTGGAAACACACTATGTGAATGGCCAAGCATTCTGTAGCCCATCAGCAAATTTTCTGTGCCTTACTATTTGGTTGTGGTTTTGAATATTTCTCTTCTAGCCAAATTCTAGCTGATTTTGTTATTTGGATATTTTTTTTAACCTCATCTATAGTCTTTAACAATGTACTGTGATGTATTTAACCCACTGGCTACTCTCTCAATTATCAGAAAATCTGAACAATTTGTCTGAAGCCTTTTTAGTTTAAAACCAGAAATTATTAATTCTGTTTCCCAAAGAAGAACCTCTAGCCCCTTAATTTGATTGCATCAGAGGTCAGTGAGCTAAAAGACATAAGGACTCACCGGAAAGTGTAAATTATATAGTGTCCAAGAATCGCAAAGCAATGACAAGCCCACATCATCTTTAGAGAGTCTGTGGTTAGTGACTGCCCTCCATACAGCTGCTTCCTCTGAGGAGGAGTTTTACAGGCGCAGGTGTAATAACAGTGGATACAAAATAAGAGGTTGTAGTTCATAGAAGGGGCTTAGGCTTTGGGGAAAGTTCATAAGACTGGTCTTAAAACCAAAAGAAACTCTGCTCCTTCCTGAGCAGAGAGTTGGCCCATGCCAGCTGTGCCCATACCCATGGATCTGCCGACTATGGAGTGCTGTGGTCTGTTTGAAGTGCCTGTCCCTTATAGCCTCATGTGCCACTTCAGCTCTGCAGACCTGGGTTTAAGAGCTCTGGAGGGTTTGGACAGCAGTTTTTCTTTGTTTTTTGAACACCACTTTCTAATCATGGTAGAAATAAGCTTTTTATCCTGCTTATTTTTTTTTGTTTATCAATTTAGAGCTGAAAGTAGATGCTGGCCACTTCCCATGTGCTGTTCTGTAATGAAGATTTCTTCACCCTTTTTGTCAGTGGAATGTAATTTTGTCAGTGTCATATAATTTTTTATTTTGACTGCATTTTATACACTGCTTTTCCAATAAAATTGTGTTGTGTGCCTGCACTACAGTAAAATAACATGCATCCCGTTCAGAACTATTCCCCTCATAGGCACCAAGATCTCTCATGAGTGGGATATTGTCTGATAAACTGTTTGTAACCTCACATACAGCTGAAAAAAGCAGCCTGGGATGGTTGTATAAGCAAGGGTTACTTCCATCACTAACTTGCTGATTGCCCTTGTTTAGTGGCTGCGGCTGAGAGAACCTCGTTTGTTCATTTTGTGGGTTTCATTTAAGGGTTTTCCCCTCGACAGCGAGGCTGTGGTACAAGGGCAGTTATTAGTGAGCCCACAGGAGGATTGCACTGGACAGGCTTCAAGCCACAGTCTATGGCTATTAGTTCTTTAATTAACCTTGGGTTATGGGGAATTGCTGTAAAAGGCTCCACAAGCCTTCAGAGCTCAGGTTTCTTCCCATAAAACCACCCCTTCCTAAAAAAAAAATAAAAAAAGACAGCGTTTTCACTGAGAGGTTTTTCTTTCTTTTACTATTGGAGCAGGGTATGGAAACAGGACCATATTTACCAGAACACTACAATCCCTAAGAGGTTAAAGAGCCAACCTTTTTCAAACCCGTGCTAACAATAGCAGCCCCATTTGTGCTAAATTGAAAGGAATTTATGGTAATTTTTTTTTTTCAGTAACACTATCTTCCTGGCCAGGTCATAGAGAAGGTAGTGAGACCACGTTGGCTTTTGTTAGGAAAACATTGTTTATTAGAGTTGGAAAAGTATATTCCTTTGTACAGCCAAATAAACAATGAGGTTGCAGTTAAAGCTAGACATGAAAGCCTTCTGCTACAGTTGCTAGAGGCTTTTCTTTAGGTAGGCAAGAGGCACAATGGTCTACCATCAGATTCAACAGGGTATATATTTTAAGCATCGGGTTTTCATGTGGTTCTGGTAAAGTTCCCTGCAAAAGGTATGAATCTAGGCAAGTTTCACACACATCCTTCTGAGACACACAAGCTGTCCGATGAGTTGACTGTGTGTGTGCTCATCAGAGGAGTCTACTGAATGAGGGCTTCTGCTTGCTGTAGTTTCAAATCCCTACAAAAGCTTTGCAAATGGGGTTTTCCTCTTGACTCCCTACTGTGCAACATTGTGTGTGCTGCTTACAGTCCAGAGATGTTTATATTTAATAATCTTTTCTTACATGCATCACAAAATCAGTCTCAGACTCTCTACCATAAATCTTTCAGTGTTTTGCATGCCTGTGAAGCAGATAACCAGAATCTTGTCCATTGCCATCTTGAGCCTTTGCTAGCAGTTTGTAAGGTCTTTTGAAATCTTTCTGTAGAAGGGGCTGCACACTCAGAAAGCGGTTTGAAGTGTGCGGGTTTTTTCCCTGAAACGTTTTTACCCACCATGACAAAGGGCATGCAGAAGCCCACTTTTGCCATTCAAAGCTGAATTGCCTGTCTCTAAATTTTATTGCATTACATTTTAAATGGCTGACAGCGGGACTGGAGAGTGTCCTTGAGAAAGAAGTTGGGTCTGTGAAGCCAGTGTTTTATTAACATATCCAAGAAGTCCTTCCTTTGCTAAGACCCCAAACAAGCTCACATAATCTGGCTTCGGTGCTTCTATAGCGTCTCTGATGTTTTATCCAAACTGTGGCCCCATTCGCTCCCGGCGATGGCAGCACCACAGGGCTGTGTCAAAGCTAACATTTCCCCTAAATTGTCCCTTAGTCTGCTGCTTGGCACAGCATCAGTGCTGCAAGAGAAGCACAAAACCAGAGAAACCCTCTGCCCCCCTCCACTGGTATTTTGACATCTAGCCTTGCTCGGAGCTTTTTGAGATTTATAGCTTGGATGTAATGAGATTGTGGTTTTGACACCTTAACATTGCGTGATCTATTTATTAAATAGAAAGTGCGCTGACAAGGAAGGGTAACCTCGTTCTTGCCTTTTCAGAGAGGGATTTGGCAAGCACCACCCTTGCACGCTAGGCAGTGTCGTGGCCCGGCTCTGCAAAGGTGATGTTCATCGCAGGAGCGGATTTTAACAGATATTGTTAAGGGGAATTATATCCTGCAAAGTAGGAGTTGGCAGGAGGTGTAAATATATATCTCCTGGGAGGGCTAAAATGCAAAGTGGAGTGTGACCACATGGTCACACGTAAATTTGTGACCATGCAAAGCACTGAGTTATCTGCAGGACAAGGGAGTTAACGTCTGCTTTTTAGATCTTTGTGTGTTTGTTATGTCCAGTCCCTCCATAAATATGGGGGTGTTCTCCCATGTCTATAAAAAGACATGAGTCATAATTTTCATAAAGTATGGGATTTTTCAAATGTATCAGTTTTTGGGTGTCCCACACAAGACAGCTGGCAGGGCTTAATTTTCACATGGTGAGTGCTAAAAATGGAGCTTTTATGGGTACATTAAAGTCACCCACTCATAGCAGCGGTTACTTTGCCAGTCTTCTGTCCATGAGAGTATATAATATCATGTAAAAACTAAGTCAATTGTTTCTTGCTAGTATTTATTTTTGGAGCCAGTGACTAAGTCAATAAAAAATGGTAGATTAATGCCATCTTCATTTAATCGAGTAAAATTACTGAGCAAAGTCCCTGCCCTACTTTCCGTACACCCCACACATTCCTCCTTCCGAGAGGAAAAAAAAAGGCAGTCCTTCCCTGTAGTGCCTTGTTTGAGTAAGCTTTCTCCTATGCTATTGACGATGCTGATGAAGACATGTTAGTGACCTTGTTTAATGCGTTTATTTTCACAGACAAATTTTGGTATTGTCGACTTTCACCTAATCACAAGGTCTTGCACTATGGAGACTTGGAAGAAAGTCCCCAGGGAGAAGTCCCCCATGATTCCTTGCAAGATAAATGTAAGTCATGTACAAAGATTGTGCTACTTTTGCTTCTTTTATGGTGGTTCCTCTTTATAACTTGTAGTAGGTTTCCCTTAACACAGGACATTATCAACAGCTCTGCTGACAGAGATGGAGAGCAGACAGCATTTCCTCCTGCATTCAAACACTGCTTTTGCTCCTGGTTTTGGCAAGTGTATATGAAGACTGAGCTCAGCTTTCCAATGAGTTTATAATTTCATTCAGCTTGCAAACGTCATGCCTTTCATGGAGCAGAGTTTATTTTCATTGCTCATCTAGCTGCAGATGTCAAATAAAAATACTTGAGCATGTTCAGAAGCATTTCCTGTCCGCAGGGCCATATGTTTCTTCTGTGGCAAACAGTCAAGTGACTGGAGGAGAAATCCACGGCAAGCAGAGGTCGTGTTCATTGTCGTGGGAAGTGAACTTGAAGATGACACACTGCTGTCAGCATTATTAAGAGGACCTCACCGTTACTGTGCACCCAGCTGGGAGAGGACATACCTCTGTGACAACTCCTATTAGGGGATTTTTGGGGATTTTTTTATGGCTAGAAGTTTGGAGCTCTTCAGAAAAACCATACTTGGGATAATTTCTCCTTCATCCCTCAGCATGAGTTATAGAGGTTTAACCTGCAGTCCAGTGAGAGTTTTTTAATGATAACGGAAGTAATGACCAGTGTAGTTCTGTCTCCAGAAAGCGACTTCAAGAAATCAGGCATGGAATAAAGAATTACTTCGTTTTATTTTCTGAACCTCCATTAGTAATAAATGCCATTCTTGGCATTAACAAATTAGACACGCTTGTACAAGTATTTCAGCTGGTACCTCCACTTCTTTCATGGAATGACAGAAAGACTGATTTTTCAGAAGTTGGAAATTTTTCCAGCCTGAAAATGGAGAAAGGAGAAAATAATTCCTGTATATTAGTAAAACAAAGATCTGTTTCTCTTTTCTGCTCCCCCAACCTGTCCCCAGGCAGCACCTTTTAAAATTTCTAAGTGCTCTCAGGCACAGTCACGTTCCCTTGTCGTCATTGCCTTACGGATTGCCTCAAGGATGTTTCATGCACTTACTGCAGTCTTGGCAGAATGTAGGACAGGGGCTCACATTGCTGCATTGGCACTGGAAGAGGCTGTTTTTCTGGACAAGGCTTAGAGAAAGAGCCCTTGAATGTTACAGTGGCATCTGGATGACAGAAGAAGAATGAAGGTCACACTTGAGCTGCAGGTACAGTTACGGGACCAGCAGTTCCCAGATTTGTGTGCTTTGAGCATGCTTTCATGCTCAGACTGCTGACCCTGACTGCAAGCTTCATCTTGCATTTGCATTTTCCATAGGCTCTTGAGCCTGCTCGGGAATGTCAGGATCCCATGGGGACAGAAGTCTCCTACTTTAGAAACCACTGGGCCAGACCCACATGTTCCCTGTGGATGCCTGCTGGAAAAGCAGATACTGGTGCAGTTTGAGAAAGATAGAGTTATCTTATCAATATCTCAGGTTTCCAGGCTATGAAGGATATGAGATTTACCACAATGCCACCCACATTAGAGTTGAGACTATTGCAAGATACAAGATTATAAAGTGGCGCTATTGTTTGAAACATGTAAGGCCAAACTGGCTTGGGATTTTTACAGAACATTTTCCAGAAATATTCTGGTGTTCTTTGGACAGACTTATATTGAATTTTGAACTATTAAGGTATGAATATGATGAGCAGATTGTCGGCATTTGGGAGGAGGTCAACAGATGAAAGAGAACAGGTAGAAAATGGAGGACCGAGAGAAGCAGCATAGGGCATTTTGTGTACTATTTGCCAAGCTTGAATAAGTAGTGTCTACCTCCAAAAATAACCATGGGTTTTTTTAACCTTTTCAGTTCTGTGTATCTCACCCCTCTTTTCAGGCTGGTGGAGTTAACAAGCTGTGCAAACTCCAGCTGGGACAGAAAACAGCTGCCCTCTTTCTCAAGGCTTTATCTGTTGTGAGCACATCACATCTGTGCTCGCACCCTCCAGCATCTTGTAGTCAGCTTCTGATACCATCTGAAGCCTTTGATTCTATTTTTTCAAAGCAAGGAAAAAGCAAAGTTCCAGATAAATAAAGATCAAGATGTCGCACCAGCCTGTGATCTCCTGTAGTAACTGCATGCTAGATCACAGAGATCAAGCATATGAAACTTGGAGAAAAGCCACCTTGGTTGAGAGATCTAACTTCAGAAAACCCTACCTTATGCAAAGCGAGAAACTGTTTTTTCCAGGAATCGTCAGCAAATGGCAGGAACTTTTTCATTTTAAGAGCTTTCTACCATAATTGCAGTCAAATATCCTCTTTACTTCCCAGTTTGTCCTAGCTCTCTCTCAAAAATAGTATCTCTTCACCAAAAAGTAGGGTACTCAGCAGGACCACAGCATGAAATGCTGAGACTAAAAGCAGGAGAGGTTGAGTAGTGAAGGGCCAAATAACTTCCATTTCTTACAGTTTTCCATGCAAAGAAAGTCCTTTAAAATGTCTGTTATATCCCGTGCTATCCATTTGCCCACAGTGCTGAGGTAGTCTGTAATAAGATACATAGTGTTGCTGTACCGAGTAGAAGAGAAAATGCATTTCTCCTCTCCAGTATTTCCATTAGAGTTTGTAGAAAACTGGGCAGCAACGGATTTTCATATTATTATGCTGTTCTATATATATGGTGCTTTTCTGCAGCCACAAGGATAATGGATTATTTATAGTTTGTAGAAACTGTCACTCACTAACCATATTGTATTGTGGGGCGTACAGATTCTCCATAATGTAATTACCCTTGGAAAATTGACTTCCACTTGAAACTCAGAGAAATGTATCTTTATGTTTTGGTTACTTCACTGAGTGAGTCTGAATGGCAGCAGCTTCCAGTATTTTTTCTTACCTTTTTTTTTTCTTCAGTGATTTCTGATCATTTTACATTTTAAAGCAATTTGAATGGGTCACTATAAACCTTAGTGATCCTTATTCCTGTTAGTACCCGTAAGCAACTAAACTGCTGATGGAAATGAAATAAAAAACTACTTGAAAAACTCATGCAGGTATTAACCTGAAGGACAACAGCATCGAGAGAGTTAGGGTCCAACTTGCCCAGTATCCTCCAGCAGAGACTTTACCTGGATGCCTAGGAGAAAGCAACTAGGCGACAGGCATATTACATTAGTAAGGCAGAAAACAGTATATGTTTTGTAGATAAATGAGTAGAAACACTCTTACCCAAAGTAGTCTCAACAGGCAGGAAAAAACATACACAGATTTTTTATCCAGATGACTGAAATTTTGTCAAGAGTCATTGGTTCCTATTTTAGTTGTTTTCTTCCACTTTTCTCATACAGCAAGCTGGAAAGGGCAAAGGAGGTGGCAATTTTAACACATTAGTCGTGTCTCTTTTTAGACTGTGGCTTTTATACACCTTGGTTATAACTAATTTTCTGGTTTTTGCTTTTATTTCATTTTCATGCAGTGCCAGTGGCAGATATAAAAGCTGTTGTGACTGGGAAAGACTGCCCTCACATGAAGGAGAAAGGAGCTCTTAAACAAAACAAGGTATGGTTCTCAAATTCTTATGAACACGCACCATGCAGAATACAAAGCTTGTCAACTCGACCTTCCCTGAAGTAATACTGGTATTTTTCATTCCAGCCTGCCACCTTTCTGTCTTTGCACACACACTTTGTTTTCACCTCAGACCATTTGAGTTAAATTATTGGAACAGCCTCCCCTCCTTTTCTCAGATTTCATGGCAGATGGGCATTGCAGTATGCCCAGAGCACATTTGGACACTGTTTAGTAGTGGTGTATTCTGCCTCTAAAGCAAAGCAGTTTTGACTGCTGCTACAGAGCAGACCAGCAATGACTGTTGGTACCTACTCCTGTACTGTCTCTGATAAATAACTAGTTTGTTCTGGCTGTATTCTCTGATGAGCTCACGTTCAGTGAACACTGGCACATGCCAAAATTGCAATTAATGTCCAGCTGATGATACCTTCAGGTCCAGTCAGGTAGAAAAGCAACTGCTGACAAAAGGATGTAAGGTAAATGCTGAGCAATTAATGAGGTGTATAAGGATGTGTTCAGCAGTGCATTTGGGATAAATTGTATAGGAGACAGTGGTTGGCTTAAATTAGATTCATGCTACCTTTCAGTGTTTCAGATAAAGAACTGTAAACTGACAGTAGGACTCAGATTGCACAGTGCCAGAATATTGCAAATTTTTTATTAGTAAGAATTGTTGCCACAGCAAGAAGAAATTGAGTTATTAGCAAAATCTGACACCTTTGGTGGTGAAGGTCTTCATACCGTATTGTATGAGGTATGTTCATAAGTTTTCTGTCAGGTCATGCAGTCTGAGCTTATGAGTGAGACTCTTAACAATGTTCAGTCTGACCTGGAACCATACCCTGAGGTCTTGGAACCAGAGGATTTGAATCAGAATTTCTGGTTACTTGAAACTGAGAAATTTTGGGCCCAACAAGAAAGAGATTTTGATGGACAAAATACTGAAGCTAAGAGTTCCTGCTTCAGCACTTTAAAAATAAAATGCATGCATTTAGTGTTCAGATAAATACTGGGAAAAAAACAGTTATAATGGGAACCATAGAAAATTAAAAGGCACTGTGGAAACTACATCACACAACTGTTGCAGCTTCATAGCTGCAATTTTTCTTTCCTTAACTATATGCAGATACACAAAGCATCTCCAGTATTCCTTGCATTTGTTTCTCATACACACGAGTTACTTTAAGTGTATCAGGATACCATCATCACCTTTCAGCTTTACATGGTTGGAAATGAAAAAGTCAAGCCGAGCGAGAAAAAAAATAAATCCCAGGAGTATTTTAACTTGTTAATTTTCTGAATCAGGGCATTAACACATGTGCACACAATAGATCGCACAAAACTCCTACCTCATGTTACAGCTGAACAATCACCAGCATTTGGCTGGGGCATTTACATGATGCATATAAAGTATTTTTAGTGCTTTCTCGTCTTAGCGCTCATATGTCCACACAAAAAGGAAAGATAGGAAGATGGAAAGCAGTGGGTGGCGATGATGGAAATGTATCATCTTTATGGAGCTGTAATGTCTAGATAGTATTTAACGCTAAATAGCAATGCTGCAGATGAGTTTGTCCTCAGCTGTCAGCATCGCCCCATTTCCTCAGGTAAAATTGGTTTGGACTGGCATAAAACTTCTGGCTGAAAATCTGAACATCAGTAGTTGATAGGTCATATGGCTGCATCCATGGCTGGAGCATTCCATTCGTGACCCAGGCAATAACAATTTTCATGTAAAACCATCAAGATTAGTAAAATAGTAAAATTATTAGTAAAATGTTAAAGTAGCAAAAACTGTTTCTGGTGTGGTGCGGGTTTTTTGATGGTTTGGGCTTTTTTTTTTTTTCCTTGATTCCTTGTTTCCTCCCCTGGGAATTAGAGTATTTGTGGAATTAGTTGTCATCCTCATCAAACTGTCATGCATGATATTGCATCTACTTAACTGACATCATAGGAATAACATATTATTCTTCATGGAGTCCCAAGTTAATGTGGACAATTAAATGAAAATTAAGGAGAAAAAAAAAAAAAGCCAGACACAGAATGCAGTCTGTCTGACTTTGACGTATGAAACCTTCCGCTTCCTGAAATTTCAGAGTCATCAATACATTTTCTTAAGAGGCCTTTTCATCCCGTGCTTTCTTTGTACATACAGAACGACCACCTTAATGTTTATTCATTGGCAAAAAGAAAATTGAATGGCAGGATGCCACTGCTGTGAACACAGCTGGAACTGGCATAATGTCCGTAACAAAGGCTTCGCCATCTCTTCATTTGCCGGCACGTGGCCGTTATTCTTCCAGCAGGACCATTTAAAAATAAATAAGAGTTAAACTGAATTGGAATTTGCATGCATATGAAGCTGGAACGACTTGATAGGACCAGACCTGAATCCATTGTTCATCTTGCTTGTGTTTTTAAATTAGGTTTAATTTTAGAGTCTTCATTTCTGACCCTCAAGTAGTATTAATGAATTTCAAGGAAATGAAATCCATTAGATTTTGCAGCTTCAAAGCAGAGCACGAGAGAAGAATTTGGAAAAAAACATTGCCATGTATTTCTAAATGTTCTCCTGTCACCTTTCATTTGTTGATGTGGCAGGCTTCAGGCTCGGTGCCTTTTCAGTCAGCAGAAATGGTTCTGCTCACTTCCCTGTTGAATGCAGCTTCTCTTTTTTACTTCATGTTGATTAAACAAGTTCCCTTCCACTGCCCCCCCCCGCCACCCCATCTCTGTGCGGGTATGTACTGGCTTTGGCAAGCAAACTTAACATGGCTTTGGTCTCAACCTTCAGCAAAGACACAGGTGTTTTCAGGCTGTTGATGACAGAGTAGGCAGAGAGGTCATTCCAGCTGTGTGGGATCACTCAGCCGTGGGCACCTAAAATGCCTGTTTGTCAAAACTAGCTTGTCTCTGATGCATGTGAGGGGCCAGTGGGGACCTGAGGAAAGAGAAGCTCTGGGCATGGAAGAGCAAACTTCCCTTTGTACCACCTACAATGGCTTTCCCCACAGAGTTGAAACCAAGGAGTAGGAACTGTCCAGCCAGCAGGTGCAGAGTCTTTTGTTCCCCATTTTCAGTAAAGCTCAAAAGAGAGGGACGACATGGGTCCCAGTACTACATCCTGCGTCCCAGAAGTATTACCTTTGACAAGCATCTAGGGAAGGGCAGGGGTCTGACTTGTGCCAAGGGTGCAAAGAGTGTCAAGGGAGTGAATTCAGCAGATTGAGGTGGGGGACAAGGAAGGCAAAACAAAGAGGGAAGGAGCAGGTTGGAAGGAATGGGACCAGAGAGCAAGAGAAACTGGTGGAAAAGTCTGGAATGGAAAATGACTGAGAAAGACTGATAAGTAGGACACAAAAGGGAGGAGAAAGCCACAGATGGCTGATGGAAACTCACCGGTTTTCCTTTAGGCATTGCTGCTTCCTCAGGATCACCTGTCATTGATGGGAACATAACCAAACCAGCTGCAGGTGCCTGATAAGTCAGACAGCTCAACCGCTGAGGCCACCACCATCAGTGTGGAGGGCCAGTTGGCAACTCCAGCCCCTCTAGCTTCTGTTCTCCTTGACAGTCTGCTGTGCATGAGGGAACAGAGATACACGTGGAAACTGTAATTCCTGAGCCTTCAGTCTCTGGAGCAGCCAGTAAAGAAACTGAACTGGGGCCAGGATTTTCAGACTTCCACTTTCCCCTATAAAGGAAAGCTTGGTACCCTAAAGATAGGCCTTTCTCATTCTGTCCCTGACTGGGAATGACCAAACCTGTGGTTCCCTGGGATGTTCCTCTTTCAGGCAAGGATTTTCTCTCCTTTTCCTTTCTTTGAGATGAACAAAAACTTCAATCCCTTGGAATTTCCCAAAGGACAAATATTCAGGGGCCAGGCCTATGGGATTTTTGTTGACTTTCATGAAATTCAGGAACTTCACAGTAGAGCCATACAAATCCTTTTTGCAATGATACATCCTATTGCGCAACCTCAGTTGCATGTCTTGCAATGTTCTGTTGGTAATATATAACACTCTGTGAGGAGATAATGCCAGGTTCGTGTGGGCAGAGGTAAATTTGTTTCTGTAATGAGGGACATCTCTTAATGAGATGTGGCTGAGAGACACACCTAAAACACAGACCGGCTATGTGAGCCACAAGCCATTTCTCAATTTGCTGAGTGCTCCAGCTCTATTAGCACCTGCAGCTTCCATGGGGATTTAACACAGACTTGTCTCCTGTGGCTTAGCAATACAGCAAATTGGACCTAATAACTAAACTCAAGGAAAGCAAGAGCATTGCCCGTGAGAAGCCTGATCTCTGATCATCCAAGATTATCCCTAAGGTTTGAAGTTTTATGATTCAGGCTCTGCTCTTAATATCAGCTTGCTTACAGGTTGCAAAGTCCTTGTAATGGTGCTTGTAGTGATGTGTGCAGTAACCATGATAACACAGCATCTTTAGGCGTTCACTGCTGGCCAGTGGAAGTTCATGATTTCTTCAGCTTGGAGGGGTTTCTCCATAGGAACCCAGATCCAGATGACTTTTAGGGAAGGTCAGTGCTTAATGAATTCACGTCGACACCTTTGAAATTCCATCTTCAATGCTGAGGAGAAAAAAAAGAAGATAATTTTTTCCTTTCCTGAGATTTGTTTGAGTCTTTATGGCTAAGTAACCCAGAACCCAGACAGCTCAGTTTGACTGAGGCTGTTGATTCTGATTCAGGTAGAGACAAAATTACAGAAATCTCCTGAGAATGGATAATTTAATAGATTTCCGGGAGTGAAAAGAGCATAAGTGTATACCAGGAGATTAACCGTCCTGGCAAGATTTTAGACACACAGAACTTTGCAAGCTTGATCTATACAAATTTTAAAAACTGTGAGTCTTCATGAAGAGTTTATTTGCAGGTGTACAATTATGAATTATATTGATTTTAATCCTTACTGTTGCCGAGTTCAGTTCCAAAGTCAAATGCTAAAGTAATCCATGACCAAGTAACCTACAGTCAGCACTGAGGGGGTGAATTTGTTTTGTCTGAAGCATCTGTGGTCGGTTTCTTGCTGTGCCAGTCTGTTGCAATGCTCTCATACTGCTGAAGTTTTGGCCAGGCAGGAGAGTACCATAACCTATTTTTCCACTTGTTTTGGGGAAATAAGTGGTAGGAAAGACAGAACTGAATGTATTAATGCCTTTATCATGCAGCATTCATATATGTTTCTTTGTGTTGTTCCAGGAGGTGCTAGAGCTTGCTTTTTCTATATTGTATGACTCAAGTGGCCAGTTGAATTTCATTGCTCCAGACAAGCATGAGGTAAGTCATGTTCCGAGTACAGACACTCCTTTTGACCCCCTTAGTTGATTTATGGAAGCAACCAGCTTTATAAGAACGTAAGAATGGTCATCCTGGCACAGAGTGCAGGTCCATCTAAACCTGTGTCGTGTCTCACAACAAGCTGAAAGCAGAGGGATTAATATGGGAACAAAACCTCCTGCAATTTTCATGGGTGTCCTGAGCCACAGAAGGAACATATTTTTAAATTGTACATCATAGAGCACATAGGGGTCTAAGTTCAAGATCAGTATTTCTAAGCCCTACTGAAATATGAACCATAAGTAGGAGAAAGAAGGGAGCTTGGGCAGACTTCACAGTTTCCACAGACCTTGCTCACCATTTCCTAGTATAGTAAAGATTTCCCGTGGTCTGGTCTACGCTAGAGGATTTTTGCTGTGTGTTCACTCTAGTGAACTTTAGTTCAACACTGATGATTTGTACAGCCAAGCTCTGAAAGAATCACTGCCATCTTCATCTCATCCTGATGATGCCACCATAATCAGGGGAGGTTATACCATTGTTGGGCCTCAGTTTCAGCCAAAATCTTGTGTTCTCCAGAACAGCACATCCCCTTATTCTTAGTTTCACATTGCTGAAGACCATTAATGACAGATGATTATAGAAAATCCTCTCCATTGCATCTCCATAGGGGGTTGTTTTGCAATGGGTCTCGCTTGTATGAAGACAGTGTACATACCAATAGCAAAGCAGAATGACAGCCTTCTACCTGCTTCCTCACCTTACTTGAAAACATAAAGAAATAGACAACATCATTGCTTTTGGAAGGTGATGGAACTAATTTACCTACTTATGTGGAAGCATTAGATGTCTTTCTCTCAAAGAACTTCAAATTAAAGACTTAGCAGAATGCACTCTATTAAAAAATAAAAAAGGAATAAAGTTTTTCCTTCATATTTCTAAAGCAACAAGAGCTTATATTCCATTTGCACATCACATTTGGTCTCAGTTCAGGACTGAGTTAAGAAGATGAAACACAGAAGATTGCTGTAAGCTGCGTTATACTGTAGTGTTATTAAAATGCATGAAATTGCATTACAAGTGAAAAGTACTTAGTTACACAGTTTCAACATTTGCAGTTCTGGATTAAAACCTTCAAATAAATGTTAATTTTAGGAGAGGAAATTAAGTTATGCTCATTTGGGTTTTCCTGGGGATAAATGTTTGTCATTTTCAAGTATGTTTGTTCCAGAGGAATATTTCCTGGTCAGTTTTGATCTAAGAGAAAGTAGCAATAGGATCCCAGGCATAATGTGGCGTGAGAGCTGAAAGTCTAAGCAAAGCATAGTTGTCTTCATCCTCTGAACTGTTAGATGCTTTCTGATATAAATTCTCCAGAACCTGAATGCTAGCCTGTTTCAGCTCATAAGAGCAAATGTTTGTGAACATCGACAAATTTTTCAGCCACTGGTATCTCAAATATAGCCTATGGCTACAAGTGTATTTTAATGGTCTAGATGTTCAAAAACTGCTACTGCACCCCACTGACAAGCAGTAGCACTGTGAGATGCACGAACCCAATTGCTCATGATTGTGTTAACACATCTATTATCTCTATTTCTCTTTTTGATCTTGTGCAGCTTCTTTGAAACAGAATTAGTAAGTTCAAAAAGATGGCCAGAGACAGCAGACTCTGCTGCTATTTAACAGTTCTCATGTGAATGTTTTCAAAAGGGCATCTCACTCCCTCTGTACTTTTCCATGGCCTAAAGAAGAGTGAGTTGTAATTAAGGCAAAAAGTGCGAATGTTCAGGGGAAGCACACACCAGGAAAGGCAAGTGGCATGTTATGAAGACCACGACTCTTCATGACAGTAACTGGGGTGCTTGTCAATAGACGTGCTAGTTTAGCAGATTTGTCAGCTTGGGATCCTTGGTGGGTGACATCTCAAGATTTAGAAAGCTTTGTGTGAAGTACCAGCAACGATGTAGTACATGACAATTTCAGGTCAGGCTTACAGGGTTTTTTCAAGCACTTCTACAGTCCTTGTGCTTGTAGAGTGAGGTCTGAATGTGGGAATAGAGTGTGTCCTAGAAACAAAAACTGAATGAGGATCACAGGATGATTCAGGTTGTAAGGGACCTTGGGGGTGTCCCCAGTCTGACCTCCTGCTCAAAGCAGGCCAGCGATGAGCTCAGGCCAGGTTGCTTGGGGCTGTATCCAGATGGATGAAGCCTGCACGACCTTTCTGGTTGTCTCGTTCCACTGACTTGGCCCCCAAGGTATTTCTTTAATAAAATCTCATTACTGAACCAGTATCACTGAGATTTGGACCTCATTCTTGAAGCAAAAGTGCTTGCACACTTAAGTTTGGCAATAATACCCTCAGCTATCTGTGGGAGCTTACTGCTAGCCAGAGGATTCAGCACTGTGAGATCGCTCCGTCGTATTTGTTTTTCATTTAAATACTAATAGCTGGTTTCAGCCACAGAGCAAAAAGGTGGATTATTCTTATCCTTGATTTTAGACAGAGAAACTGATGAGGGAGGCTATAATTAGGTTTCATTGGAGTTTTATGAAAATGAATCTGTAGTAAATTAATTTTTCAGTGTTTTGCATATTAAAAAGAAAAAAAAGCTTCTGAATGAATGCCTCTGTTTTTCCACCATCTTATTAGGATTTCTCTCTGCTTAAAATGTACAGAAGTTTAATTAGATGCACTTGCCAATATGGAGATTAGAGAGGTAACCCCTTTTCCAGGCCATTGCTCTCATCTGAATTGTGGCCAGAATTTGGTTTCTGTGGACCCTGAATGAGTTATATCTGGAAGAGGAGAGCGATGCAGTTCTGCTTTTGGGCTCGGTGGGATTCCTCCCCAGAGAAAGCGCTGGCTGTACTCACTGAGCAGGTGCTGGACGATTTACGTCAGGAGCTGCGTCTGTTGAATGGATGCTCTGCACTTCTGTAACCTAAGCAGAGCCTTTTGCCTTTCTGTTCCTTTCCTCATAGTGAATTCTGGGAAAGCTTTCCCAAAGAAGGATTTAAAGTTGATCATAAAAAATGATAGTCTGTTGGAAAATAATTATATTTCTAGGATAGCTTCTTTCTTCTCCTGATGTTCTGTGTACACTCCACAAAATTTGCATGCTTTAAAAGTCTTCAGTGACACGCTTTGACAGCCTAGAATAGGTGGGCTAAGTTGTGTATTTAGTACTTGTTACCAGGACAGCCTGAACCCTAAAGTCTCTTTGATATAGCTGATCTCATATTAAAGCTGCAGCTTGGCTTACCAACACCCTGAGTGAAATCCTGGTTCTGCTACTGTTTCGCTACTGACTTAAATGGGTCGGATTTCACTCTGGATGTTGAAGTGTGCTAACCATCCCATTTTAAAAATATGCCCTTTTTCTGGATAAAGACATACGCCAAGAGGGGGGTTTTCTATCTCTTCCTTAAAAATAGTCCTCCTTTCTGCTGTAGGATGAAGGTAACCATGGCTATCTTTAAACTTGGTGGTATCGTGTAGCAAATGGTCAGCTAAATTTAAAATCCATTTTTTGACATGAAATCTAGCAGAAGTATTTGTAAGATAAAAATGCAGTTATGGTTGATTTACTTTTCTCCTGCAAACTAGGACAGAAGTTCATGATTGAAATCTCTATTTTCAGATGATAGCATTTGAGTACTTCTTGTTCATAGTTGAATAAATGGCTTGTAGTAAAAAATGAAAGTGCCTTATTTGATAGACATTGACTCTAGATCACCACTCTCCCTTGGGTTTTTTGCTTATTTAAAATTGTTATTCAGCCCATGTTTATCACAATCTGTCAGCTGTTGAGAAGGATGGCATCTCCTATTAGGAAAAAGCTAACAGTAAGGAAGAGGTTTTAGAGGCCAGTTCACCATTTGCAGCATTTAGAATTATATCAGGTAGCTTGGTATTTAATTTTCATAAGGTCACAGCATTGACTGACTGTAGTTTTCACAATATGTTATTTCTTGTAAAATAGTGGTAAAGTAGGCATAGATATGTGAGAGCCTATCTTTGTGTAAGTCAATTAATACCACTTAATCTGTAAGAAAGCAAACCATGATAAAACTAGATAGTTGATACAGGATTTCTTACACAAAGAGTCAAGAAGGATTTTGGTTGGGATTCAGTTTACCTCAGCTGTCTTGGAATTAAGTTTGGTGTGAAACAATCAGGCTCTTTCTGTAAGTACTGGGGAAAGAGAAAGAGAGAGGGAAAAGGAGATACCTTTAGAGATTTGTTGCCCTAAGTTAGGTATTTTTCTCTCTCCCATAACTATTGAAGAATATTCAACAAGAGGTTTGGAGGCGACGCCTAACTATCAGACAACTAAATGTTGTAATTTCTTCCCCTTTTTAAGGAATTTTGTGTCCATTTTCTGAGCTGTCCGGTGGAACCAGCCGTCTTCATGATACGAGCTAACAAAATGTATCAACCTCATTTTAGGTCTCTTCATAAGTCTCTGTGGGAGCAGTAACTGTAGAGGACCAGGCCAGACAAGCAATTTGTGTATGAGAGGTCTATTAATGACGGTCTTTATCTTTTCCCTGTGCAGTACTGTGTATGGACCGATGGACTGAATGCACTCCTTGGGAAGGATATGTTGAGCGATTTAACGCGGAACGACTTGGACACGCTGCTCAGCATGGAGATAAAGCTACGCCTCCTTGACTTGGAAAACATACAGATCCCAGATGCTCCCCCACCGATCCCAAAGGAGCCCAGCAACTACGACTTTGTTTATGACTGTAACTGAGGCTGCCACTGAAACTTACTTCAAAACTGGAAATACTATAACTGGAGAGATATTAAAAAAAAGAAGAGTGTGAGGGAAAAAGAGAAACCCACTTGTGCACCTTGGATTTTGGCTTTGGGGAGGGGTGTAGGAACACTTACATTCCTCCCTGTTCCCTGCATCCCTTCCTTCCCCATTCCCATCTTCCCCATTGCTCATCCAAATCCACATTGCTTTAATTAACTTGTAATTGCAGGCCATTGGCCTTGCTTAAGGCAAAGACTGCCACTAAGAAGCACCCTCCCAAGGACTTTTTTTACATTTTTAATACTGGAATAGACATTCTTAAATAAGGATGTTGTCATCCAAACTGCATGCCTGTGAAACCCACTTGGCAGGGCAGAGGCTTTAACTGGAAGGAGGAGGGAGGTAGGGAGCAGAAGCAGCTACTGTAAGCAGAAGATTTCCCCAGACACTCCCAAGAGTCTGCTCACAGCCCAATCCAATGCGATGATGAAAATTGTTAACTGCTTCCCAGTGCTCGCACCACCGCCACTGCCATTATTCTTTCCGCTGTCATCTCGACTCTTGCCGCCAGCCTTCACCCAACTGATCGGCTCCCAGAATGGAAAGTCTGCAGGTTTTTGCTGTACCATACGCTGCAATGCTGCAACAGCTTTTAACTTCTTTTCCTCCCAGCTCTGAAGTAGCCCCACACTAGCAGATCACTCGCACAAACTGTGTATGAAGCCACTAGCGTGCCCCATCCCTGTAGCGTTCCCTAAGCCTCGGTTGCCTCTAAAATTGGCTTGTTGCTATTCAAAGTGATTTTTATTTCCTTGCTCCAAAGTTCAACAGTAATTTCCACAAATTAGTTACAACTGCCAAACAGCCAGGTTTACATTGTTGTCATTGCTACAGTGTTACGAATTTGCAAGGGATTTTTTTTGTACGGGTTCTAATTTTTTTATTTTATTTTGCCAAACAAATCTATTTAATGAAACCTAATTTCATTGTGAGTACTTTTGAGGGACAATATTTTTACTTAATTTCCATTTGGAACATTTCCCCTGAAGGGAAAAAATAGTATTTCCCTTCAACTTCGCTGTTGAATAAAAATCTGAGTTGTGATGATTCTTGGAACTTTGTTTTTCTTCTAAAGTTGTCTTTTATTCTTTATGTTTCCTAGCAATTCTGAAGTGTTTGGTACAAAGAGGAGAGGGAAGGGTGGAACATTTCTTATCTGCATATGATTTAATTTAATCAATTGTTTGTCCATGGTGACATTGATGAAATGCATCCAGAGATCTCCATTGCCAGGGGTACACGAGTCTTCCTGTAAGAAGGACGCTTTTTGAAATCCAAAATCACAGCATACTAATGTGCTCATGGTCAGTTTAAGGCTCCTGCCTTTAACACGTTTGCTGGAGTAACTGTCTTCCTTATTTCCATTTCCTCCATTGGGAGTGTTTCTGGCTGCAGCAGATTGATACTGGGGAAGTTTGGGCTTTGCAGGATGGTTTGCCTTCCTCCTTCTAGGTGTTTCACTAAGTTCAGTATTTCCTACTCTGAAAGTGCTGGGTCTAGATCTAGAGGAACCCACCAGCCCTTTACTTCCCACTGCAGAGGCTGAAGACAGGTATTTATTTGTGTGAATTCCTCTCCTACTCAAATCCAGCTGTGACTGTGAAGGGGTTTTATCTGAGCTTGTGCTGGTTAGAAACCTAGAGGATGGTTCCAGTTTAGACACACACAGAAAACCTCAACTGAGGGGATGTTTGCTCCTTCCTGCCATCTCTGAAGCAAACGGCCTGACTGACCTCACACCAGGTAAGGAGAGAAGTGATGTCCTGGAGGTGCAACAAAAAGGAGGATGAGGAGAATGTGGTATGAATTCAAGCATGAGTGTCCTAAGGAAGGTGCCTTCTTGAAGCTGTGTGTGCACAGTATTTCATGAATGCCTTGGTCTAACAAGGAGACCTAAGTTGGGTTACGTGGTAGTGAATGGTAAAGTAAGGAAAAAAAGAGACTCTGAGTCAAACACTGGAGTAGGAAGCTACAGTGGGCTGTGGCTGCAAAGAAGATTCAGTCTGAATGACAACAGGGATGTGCAATGTAAGATGTGGGAGTTTGAGATGTTTTATGCTCCAGAGCCTTGTCAGACTATAACGAAGGTAGGCAGGGGTCAGGAATGAGTGGAAGCAAAGGCACTGCCTGCCACAGGTGATTTTGAAGGGGTCCTGGGGTGGGGGATGGAGGTAGGAACACATTTCTTTACGTGTTGCTGGCACTGTTGCTGCCTCTTGTCTGCATGAAGACCAGGTTTGAGGCAGAACAGATAAGCTGTTTTATTAATCTCCCTGACCCAGCTGGGTGGCTTGGCTGTGCATAACCTTTGCTTTTTATTTACAGACTGCAGAGCTCCTGCTTCAGATGGGAATTGCTAGTTGTCAGAAGAAACACCTTTCACTCCTAAGTGGTAAGAGCCAAACACTGCCAGCTCAGTGACAATCAGATGCTGTGATCTTAGCAGGTAGGTGTCAGAAAGGAGCAAACAAAAACCCTCCTCTGGGGGCAACCTGAGCAGGAAGAAAAGGTTAGACCTGCCTCCCCTACTGAGGTGTGTGCCCCAGATTGTATACCAAGAGCCCAGGGAAGGTGGTGGGAGGCCTCTGTTTTTACTAACACCTAGTGCCCATCCACGTTATACCAAGCAGGCAACATAGCCCAGTGGCTGCCTGCTGCCCTGGGACTCGGCAAGACGGATGCAGCCTCACCAGAGGGGTCCAGATTTGGAGTTGGCTGAATGCCGTGGTGCTGCTCTATGGCTCTGGCTTACCACCTCCTGCAGCCCTGGCTTGCAGGAGCCCCATCCCCTTGCGTGGCCCAGCTCTTTGTATGGGTTAGGCACCATGTGGAATGGTCACATGAGCAGCTGTGCTAAATTTGGCTCCCCCCCACGTGTCCTACCCTGCCATAAAAAAAGGGAGGCTCGAGAGATGCGTTGGCGTAATAGGCCATGCAGCTATTTTAAACGTGCTCCCACAGCAACGCGAAAGGCCACGGTGCGAACAAGGATCTTGCCTTCAGTTTCTAGAGCTGTCATGCAGGCTGACTTCACCATTATGAAATTTAAGAAGAAAAGTGTGTAATGATGAACAAGTATCCCGCTGCTTCCCATTCATTTAAAAAAAGAGAATGAAAATGGCAAATTCATTTGCTCACACTGTTGTGTGTTCCGGAAAAGCTTTTAAGGCTTCACATTCAAGGAGCTGTAGCAGGAAAAAAATTTGCCATTGAAGTTTCTTGTATAATTTCAAAACATTAAGTGGGTAATTGCTTGTAAAAGCCATAAAGGGGAGAGAGTACAAAAAAAAATAATCAGTCTAATTTTAGCTCCTGTTTTTGAAATGACTTTGCTTTTGAAAGTGAATATATTCTTTTACCAGAGAAGTTGAATCAAGAAAAATATGTATCTTCTTAAGTGAACTGCTTGCCCTGCTTGTAGGGACAAGGAGAAGAACAGCAATGCTAAGTAATCCAGCACAAAAGCAAGC